TTTAACCAAATTACTTTCTTCAAAAAGCTAAAATGTTAACAAATTTACACTTAAAAATGCTCACTAAGTGAGGAAACTAATTAATAAATACTTATTATCAAAATTCAAAAAAGAAAAAATTTAATCTCAAAATCGATTCAAATAGTTGCCTCAATAACTGAGAAGAAGCTCCACATATCGGAGAAGAAGGCAGATGGGCGCGTTCAACATGGTGGCAACCGGATTATTGGTCGTAGATTGTCGATTCCATGAGGGGAAGGGGAAGGGAAAGGAAAATAGAGAGGGAAAACAAGAACGTGTCAGAGAAGAAAAAGAAATAGAAAAAACAGAAGAAGAAATGATGGTTTTGTGTGGGGGAAATGTAGGAGGCATGGCGTAGACTAAACTTTGTAAAAAAATTTTAAGGAGTCATTGAAATTTAAAAATTACATAAATGATCATTAAACTTTGCAAAAAATTTCTACGGGATCACTGAACTTTAAAAATCATATAAACGGTCACTGAACTTTGCCAAAAAGTTCCACGGGGTCACTGAATTCAGTGATCATTGGGAAATTTTTTGCAAAGTTTAGTGATCTTGTGGAAACTTTTTACAAAGTTCAGTGAACGATAATGTGATTTTTAAAGTTTAGTGACTCCGTAGAAACCTTTTGCAAAGTTCATTGATCATTTTGGTGATTTTTAAAACTCAGTGACCCCTTTAAAATTTTTTGCAAAATTCAGTGACCATTTGGACAATTCACTCGAGATAGTGGGATAAAACTAGGCCAAACATATATCTTTTATTTTGTTTAAAACTGTCAATAATTCCTTTTGAATTGAAAATAAAGGTGCTACGCCCTAGTGAAGAAACCGCTAGATCATCAAACACAGGCTACACTTCGAGGTGTCGAAGCGCCCAAATCATCAACATTAAAGTGAGGCAAATTTCGAGGTCAACAGTGTCTGGTCCGAAGTGGTGCTAACAAAATTCGAGCTGTAACACCTAGAAAGCTTCGACATAAGATACTTATCTTTTATTCAAGAATCTGTCCAAAATAAAATCTTATAAATGAAAGATATGACATCTTTGCAGCAAATTAACTCCAATCCAGAAATATCAAATGCCTGCCCATCTATGGAGTGATAGATGGACATCTATGAAGATATACTTCTGACCAATAGATGGAGCCACACGTTCTCCATCCAACGATTATTCTTCCACACTTCTCTCTATATAAATGCCTGCGATCTAAACCTTTGTGAGGTAATGTAACTTCACAACCTAAGTAATTACCATATTTTCTCCCCTTTGAGATAATTTAAAAAGGTCCAAAGGTCTTTGCTACCAGAGTGTTCGTGATTGCAACCATTGCTAGGAATGGCCATGAACTATTAACCGTTTGTGCCAAGTGTGCAAGGAAGAACTTACGCGGAGTTATTCTTTGTTGGCCAAGTGTAGGGATGGCAATGGGGCGGAGCAAGGCGAGGCTACGCCCCATTTGTCGCCCTGTTTATTTAGTTTTTTTATTTTTCAAATTATGTTATTATTATAGAACAAAATATAAATTCAAAATTTTAATATTCAAAGTAAACACTTGAAATAAACAATGTTAAAAATTAAACAATTTCAAATAAAATTATGTTTTGACTAAATTTTATTTCTTTTGTAATTAATTAAATTTTACATTTGTATTTTATTATCTAATAATAATATAACTTGAAATAAAAAAAAAATCATGGGGCGGGGCACCCCCACCTTGTACCGCTACGGGGCGCCCCATCCTGCCCCACCAACCCATCGAGGCTGGTTTTTTTTGCCCCATTCGGGACGGGACGGGTTTTTTTTGCCATCATTAGCCCAAGTGGAAGTTCATTTCTTGGGGTCAACAAAAGGGACTGTCCAAGTTTAAACATTTTCACCCATGATTTTTGTTCTTTTATATTAGATTGAACTGTTTATATTGTGATAAATAATATAAAATTTTGATTTACTTCTTTTAATTTTTGTTAAGTTAATGAAATTTCGATTCTCAATCAGAACTTTTGCATTTATCAGAGATGAAATTTTATTTTATTGTACCCCAAGCATGTCTTTTTAATGTCTATAATTCTACAAAACAAAATTAACCCCTCGTTGGGGCCCCATTTCGAGAAGAGAATGTATTTAAAAATAGTAGATTGATGAAAAGCGTGTTATTGCAAACTAAGAAAAAACTTTAAACTTACGTATAATATTATTTTATTGAAAAAATATGTGATTGAAATGAATTTGAAAAAAGAATAATATTTCTCAACCAGGTATAAAAACATATATAAAAACAAGGATTTGAAATTCGCCGAGGTGGCAAAATTGCACAGTTAAAAAAAAAAGCTTAAAACACTTTAAAAAAGAAAGTCTGGCTGAAACTAAACAAAAGGGAATAACCACAGAAGCGGGAAAGCAAAACCGAAAAACATAAGTGCCAAACCCTCCCTCCCTCTCGTCGCCGCCAGATCATCCCTGCTCCTTGAACTCTACAACTTGGTGAGGAATAGTTGTTTGTCCATTTCACATTACGAAACTTTTTATCAAAATCAGTGAATTTAATTATTGACGTAAAAATGGGTGGATTTCATCAACCCTTGTGATATAGTGTTACCAAAATTAAGAAAGATGTTTTCCAAATTTCTGTGTGATAAAAGATTGCTTTTCATCCCTTCTTCTTTTACAGGACAAAGCACGATCACTAATATTAAAGTGGACCAGCTGACTTTGGATTTTAATTGCTACTTAGCTAGATGGGATTAGTAGACTGGAAACAAAAAATATTGAAGGAATTTGAATTGGATGAGAGGATTATTTGTGGTTGACTTTTGGGCTTTCAAATGTTGGAGATAAATGAGTTCCTTTTTTTTTTTTTCTTCTTCTTCTTCTTGGTCGGTCACTACAGGTGCTCCGGTCGGCGGCAGAACGAAGGGTTTGGGAACAAAGGAAAAATCGGGTGCTGCTATTTTAATCCACACTTTTTATATATACATCCACTTTTAAAAATTAAATTTTGTTATATTTTAAATCTTATGTAAATTTACTTAAATAGACATAAAACAAAATCAAATAAAAATACATAACTCTAAATTGATCCACTAGTTTTTTATTTTCATTTGTGCAAACTAGAATCCTAATATATAGAGAAAAATACATGAATATAATTATAGGTGATGATGACCCTAAATGTGATTAATGTGTTGGCAATCATATTGGATTTCGAAGAATGCCAAACGAAATTTGATGCAATTTCATCAGTTAATCAAGAAAAAAGAATAATTGCAGCCAACAAAGTTAGTAAAATTCAGCTTGCTTAATCAAACTTTATTCTTTTTTTGGCCTTCATTGTTTGAAATATTCTAATACTTAGAACTTCAATAGACAAAGAATTTAATTCATGTTAATTTAATGTTCAATCAGTTCAGTGTTGTTCTTATTTCATTTAATTGGTTTAAGAGTTTATGATTTTAGGGATTGGACGAATCTATAGTGATAGAGATGTATTTAAAGTATGATGACTATATAAAATTCATGTGGATATATAATATTTAAATGAATGAATTTAATAATGACAAGATTTGAATATGAAGTGAATGTAAATAATATTTTTTACAACTTTTAAAATTTTATTAGGGATGAACTTAGAGTAGGATGTACTAATAAAAAATGTGGATGAAAATAGCAATACCCGAAAAGTCAATCCCGATTTCTTACAATTTGTTTAGTTTTGTAAAGTCTTTTTACTATTATTTTATTTTATTTTTTATCGTGTGCTGTGGGCCACCACAGCAATATTAAAATACCTGTTCCCAACCCTGGTTTTATGTCTGCTGAGTAGCAAGATTGTTGACGGTGAATGGTGAATTTTTTTAGAAATACGGAAGAAAGGAAACTCCTGAAGGTGACGAAAGGAAGCAACATGAGAAATATGATGTAATGAAATTGACTGAACTGGCCCACACACTTTCTAGATATTTTAGAGACTCCGCCGCCGCCGAACCGGTTCAGTTCATTTGACGACACGTTAAGGATACCTTTGTTCATCCAATGGCTAGAAATAATGGTAGCGAATTTTCCCAACTTATTGAAAGTTCTTCTTCTTCTCGTGCGCCAGTTGATTGATTAAGAGGCGAAGTCAATTAATCAATGTCGACGGCCACACGCATTTTAAAATGACCCACAAAATATTATAAGATTTGACTTGGCAATTTAAGTACTTGATTGGTTGCCAAAAAGATGATTCAACAATAAACTTTCAATCGTGTATGAACGGTATTCAATTTGATTATAATCAAGTGAACTTGATATTGCTTCTTCGACTTGAATATGAAGATATATATTAAGCCTCATTAGGAGAGATTAAAATCAATTTTTTAATAAATTTTGATAAAAGTTAATGAAATGTGTAGTCGAAAAGTTGTGGATACCATAAAATATATGATTAAAATTAATTGTTGATTTTGACTTATATTAAAATCTGAATTTTAATCCCTATCAAACAGAAGCTGAATATGATGCAAAAAAATCTTATTCAATTCTTGGATGGCAACGGACTAATTTTGAAAATAATGTTAATGGACTTGGATAATCGGTTCCAATTTGGACAAATTTGCAAGACCAAGGTTTTTATAAACAAATTTGAATTTTCATTTTAAATAGCTATATAATTGAAGCGGGACAACATGAATCACGATTTTTTGGGTCAAATTGTCATCTTTGTATTCTTGTTAACGATACCCAATAGTATTTAGCTTACGTCTAACCTAAGCTAGGCATAGGCAAACAAATCTTAAGTGGCAAGTTGAACATCATCTATAACTAGCAAGGCATAAGCATGGGCATAGGCAAACATATCTTAAGTGGCAAGTTGAACAACATGCCCAAGCGGCACTGACCAGGTGTCGAATTAATGACATTGACTCGGCCCAAATTAATTCAATTTTAATTTTTCTTTTTCCCTCCTACGACTCTTCTACACCCTCACGCGTTCCTTATTTTTGTCTATAAATGTGAACTTATCCTCTCCTCGAAGTTCAATTCATTCAATCCATAGCTCTTTCAGAAAAGAATAACACACAAATTTCTTGTTTTCGTTGAGGAAAATTGAAAGTCAATGGCTCGATCATTCTCCAACGCCAAGATGCTCTCTTCTTTCGTTGTTAACAGAATCTCCGCCGTCGTCACCAGGTGGGATATTTGATTTCCTGTGAATTTTGTATATATATATTTTTTAATAGATTGGATTGGAGTAGTATTTTGATCGGTTGTGATTCGTGAAATGTTTGTGCAGAAGGGGATATGCGGCGACAGCATCACAGAGTGGTGTTTCCAGCGGTGTTAGAGGAGGTGCTTCGAACGTGATGTTGAAGAAAGGGGAGAAAGAATCGACCAAAACCTCGTGGGTGCCGGATCCAGTCACCGGATATTACCGGCCGGAGAATCAATCCAAAGAGATTGACGCCGCCGAGTTGAGGGAGATTCTATTGAAGAACAAAACCAGACGACACTAAACTGGAAAAACTGATTTTGAATCAAGTTTTGGTCTCAATTTCTTCCCTTGGGCTATGATCCTCGGTAGATTATATTATATACTCAATTGTTGTAGCTTTGTAACTTCTGTTCTTAGGTGTAGAAACAGAGTGTTCATGTTGAGGCCTTTGTTGCCTTGTTCTCATTACATAATAATGCAATATCTAAGTTATTTACGTTTTGTTCATCAATTCTTCATTTTTTGCAGTATATTAATGAATCTGAGGAATTTGGGACAATATTATTATTATTATTTTTTTAAAGATTTTCTTCTTTAAGCGGAATTCGATTTCAACGAGCTATTACAAGCTCTGAACTATGATGGAGAAATTAATCATTTAAACTGATATACTAATGAGCGATCTATCAATTGAATGATGAAAACAACAACTGGACAGGATGCGTTCATATAATTTCAGTATAAAAAAAAAAAAAGAAATGAATTCTGTGGTTTGTCAATTACTGGATTGTCTAGTAAGGCATTTTAGGTATCAAATAAATGGATTACAATACAAAGCAAGGTGGATGTCTCTTTCTGACTTTCAGGGCAGGGTTCCATTTGGAACATGTGGCATAAACTATTTAAAGAGACAACCTATTTCATAATTGAAGAGATCCACACGCAACAGATGTATGTGTTGCTTGAACGTTACAGATATTAACTTAGAATATTATTATGCTTGTGGAGTGGACTCTAAATTTCGAAGGATGAATTACCAGTAAGATGTCATACATTTCTTTACAAGTCATGTAGTGATAATCGAGATGAGCACTCACAACCAGAGGTGTAAATAAGATCGAGATGGGCAGGTCTGACTCATTTTTAGGACAGTATGACACGATCATTTCCCTGTTAACCTTGAACTAAACCTATTTTCTTATTTCATTTTTGGGACGGTATATATGGCTCATTGGACATTGTTTTTCTCTTCAAAACTCAGCTCTAATGATATGTCGCACCTAGGCCAACTCTTTCATCTTTATGCTTCTACTCTAAATCGCAACGGAACTCTGAATATCCAATAAAATCTATAGTTAACCAAATGTAAATAAAAAAGTCAACATATTCCTAAGAATCCTATGAGCAAGTTGATACATCAAGCTAACTCCATTAATGGTGGATCAAATTGAACTTGGATATCCAGTCAATATCTATTCTTCAACCGAGTGTAAATACAATAGTCAATGTGCTCCCTAGAATCCTATAAGCGTGTTGATTCACTAGGCTACTCCATTTTATCGTGTCCGCCATATCCATTAATTTTTTGCAAATCGAAAGTAGTCGGTTCGTTGACACTCAACTGTGAATCACACGTTTGAACACTTCTTCTGAAGAGAGGATCATCTTCCATGAAATAGAGAATTACTTGCTCTGCACACGATGTACTTTTCTTATAAATAATGATTGTCTAACTTATACACACAAAACTTATAAATGCACTTAGACTATATTATACGAGCAACTTTGTTACTTTCCAACCCACCTTTAAATTCACCACTAACTTGACTATCAGAGTGTAATAGACATATTTTAATCCACAATGACTACAAGGAACCAATGCAACAATTTTGAGAGGCATCTTTTCCCTTTTTGCTGAAAGTTTGAAATGTGTTGGACCAGTCATATATTTATCGGGCCTGACAGGCCCATGGGTTTAAAATTCTCTATATCTTAAAGGGCTTGAAAATGAAATTTCTATGGGCTGGACTTCAATTTTAGGGCTCATTTGTACCTACCTTAGAACTCACTACAGTAGCTCCCTTCGTTTATTAACAGAATATAAAGAACGCTACAAAACCCTACTAACTTCACATTGTTAAAATTTAGCATAGAAAGGCGCGGCGGAAAGCGGCAGCACCACCAACAGCAGTCATGGTATGCCTCCTCTTCACTTCTAAACAAATGTAAAATTGTCTTTTTTCACCCTAAGAAGTTCAAAATTTTAAATTGATTGATTTTTATTTTGTTTTGTATTTAGGGTATTGATTTGGTCGCCGGAGGTAAGAGCAAGAAGACCAAGCGCACCGCTCCAAAATCCAATGATATTTACCTCAAGCTTCTTGTCAAGGTTACAATTTTTTTTTTTTTAAATTCTATTAATATATTTTTGTGTGATCGCATCAGAGATTTTTTTGAATGTTCGTATGATAAGCTTTAGAGTGATTGTTTACGTGACAGCTGTATCGATTCCTCGTGAGGAGAACTGGAAGCAAGTTCAATGCAGTGATATTGAAGAGGCTGTTCATGAGCAAGGTTAACAAGGCCCCTCTTTCTCTCTCCCGACTCGTCACTTTCATGAAGGGAAAGGTAATATTCTATATTGCTATATATCTTGATTTATGCTGTTGCTGTATTGTTTGTGTTTGGATGACTTCGTATATGATTTCCGAGTTCTAAATTGCCTGTCTTAGGTCAATTTATTTCTAGTATATTCTTTTGTTTCTCAAGCAAATTGTGTTAATCAACCAGTTGAGGAAGTTAAAAGCAGTGATTTGAACATTGCAGTCTTTAAATATCCGGAGGGAGTACACCAATAATGGGATAATGGAAGTGTAATATTGTATGAAAAATGAAATGCACAAAAATCTACATAGAGATCCCACCAGAAACCAAACAAGTAGGCTATACACTAATTAATCTAAGTATGGGGTTGTTTGAGCTCCAATTTTTATTTTATTTTATTATTATTTTTTTTTCCAAAAATTGCATTTTGAAGGTTAAAAAGTAAGAAAAGTTTTGGGTTTGTGGGTAATATTATTTTATTAAAAAATGCGTGGTTGATATGGGGTTAAATCACGGATGAAAGATGTATTTTGATGGAAAAAATGGGGCTCAAAAGATGAGTCTAATTACATGTTGATTTATAATTAACTAGCACATTTTTTTTCCACAAATGGGATTCTGACATTGTAGCAACTAGCAGTAAAACTGCTGCTGTAAATTGAGCATTTCATCACAGAGTTTGAATTATATATAATGTTCAGTACATTCTACATGCTCTATGTTTTATTTATTTATTTATTTTTGTCTGGGTACTACATATATATTGCTATATGTTGGACAAAATACCTTTTAATCAATTCTTATTTGAAATTGTTGTTTCTTTATATATTGAAACAATTAGGTTAAAATTGAATCACATGAATATCTGGCGACTATCAGTTAACGTCCTTTCAATACATGGTTATTGGTTTCTTTGTAGGAAGACAAGATTGCGGTGCTTGTTGGGACTGTCACTGATGATATTCGGGCTTATGAAGTCCCTGCAATGAAGGTAACAGCTTTGAGATTCACAGAGAGAGCAAGGGCAAGAATTGAGAAGGCAGGTGGAGAATGCTTGACTTTTGATCAGCTCGCTCTTAGAGCTCCTCTTGGGCAAAATACGGTAGTGACTATTCTAGTCTTTTTCTTGATGAATTTATTGTTGCTCGTGTTTGATAGAGTTGGTGGAAATGAGAGGTTTAAACCAAAAACACGAATATCTTTTTGTCCATGATTTTAATGAAGTCTGGAATGATTGTTGTGTTCAGTACGCTGATTCATTCTTTCCTTTGAACTTGTAATTGAGGTTTGATATGGATTCCGTTTCTATTGAAAATTGCTTTGTTAGAGAGTATTTTATGCTCAATGTTTAAACCATTTTGGTCTTGCACACAGCTATGATTCTGCTGGTAAATTTTGCCTTTTTAGTTTGTGCAACATAAACCTTGTGTTGTTATGAAACTCCAAAATGTATGGGAATAGTTTTGTTTTTTGTTTTTGTTTTTTTTAAGTATGCTTTAATCTTGTGCTTCTCTGTAGTCCATCCCATGAGTTGTGATTTTTTCCCTTTCAAGGGATAAGTTGGTTTAGGATTTGTTTTAGTGTGTGATATCTCGTCCAATTATACCTATAAAAAAATAATAATAATAGAATCTCGTCCAATTATGAAACCGTGTTTTGTTGTTGACTGTGTGCATTTGATGTTTGATTTTCCGGTAATTTAGTCTGTTGTCATTTTCTTTTGATAATTTGATTTACTATTGCTGTTGAACTGCCTTAGTATATCATCTCCCAGGGTGATGTATTTCACAAATAATATTTCCAGATATCAATGCTAATAGACATATTGGTGACATAATTTTAGAAGACTTGTATGAATAGCTGACTGTGCTGTTTTGATGCAGGTACTTCTTAGAGGACCCGTGAAGTCTCGCGAGGCAGTGAAGCACTTTGGTCCAGCTCCTGGTGTTCCACACAGCCACACCAAGCCGTATGTGCGAGCCAAGGGTAGGAAGTTTGAGCGTGCAAGAGGTAGAAGAAACAGCAGAGGTTTTAAGGTCTAAATTTCCACCGCTAGTTATTACCAGGTCGATGGCAGTTTTTTACATTTTATCAGATTTCTATGAAAGATTTTGTCCTTCAATGTGATGCCCCAGTTCTTTTCTTGTGTTCTCTCATCTTTTTTCTATCTTGGATTCAATTTTTATCACATTTGGCTTTGTATGCTTTTAAATATTTGAAGGATATAAAATGTTCGAGCTTTTAGACTTGTGCAATGATTCTCTACGTCTTGTCTATACATCGGCTGTCTGCATGGGAAGAAATGATTTCTTCAAGGTTCGAGCCAGAAAAATTTGCTCATGCTTCAGTCCATATGATCCCTTGGAACTCATAATCTGCTCTATTAACTCTCTAATGGATGATGATATCGCTACTCAACCTACACTGCGATCAATGTTAAAATTATGTTACTATCCGTTGTCATTATGGTAATTGCATGTATCCTCAGTTTTGTTTCATTTGTATGGCCGCTGGTTTTGCCGCGGCCACTTAAGGCGCCTCCAGAACCGTGGCTGCCTCCACCATGCCTGCCACTCGACCATGTTCGTAGGGACATTGAAAAGGTTTTTAGCCTAATCGCCTATAAGCAAAGTGCTTCACCAGGGTTAGACAATGTCTCTCGAACAATGTCAGTAGTCATGGTGAAAGACTTACGGTAGTTCTGGAATGAGATCCCGCGTGTTCACATATTACCATAATGCCCAGTTTGTCTCGATTTTCGATTGATAAACTAGGTTTTCCATGTATGGTTGGGGCATATTTTGTGTATGAAGTAATGAAATTTTAGTCCGTTTCGTTGTTTGGCAAAGCTTATTTTTCTAAAATTGTATGGCCATAATTATATTTTCCCCGGTTAATGGGGAAAATTAATTAGCATGTTATTTCAAGCCATTCGATCAACACGGAAAATACACGAAAAATTAACCTCCTGTCTCCTATAGAAGCCCCATGCACAAAAAATTAATCACGAAAGGATCGAAGAGGAGATAAAAAGAAAAAAAGAAAAGGCAACCATCATGTCCAAGTTCTTCATTCCGTTGGCTCTCCTCTTCTGCCTGGGCTTTCATTTCACCGTAATTTCGGCTAAAGTTGGCGCCCTTCCCCCATCATCATCGTCTTTATCTGGCTCTGCTCTGATCCGAAAAGCATGCCAAGGCGTCAATGAATGCGTTTCGATTCTAGAATCCGCGCCAGAAAACCAAAAGGCTGATGCAAACGGACTTATATTCTTCGCCCTCCGATTCGCCGAAGATCAGTCGGCAAATTTCACCCAGTCCATCGTGTTACTTACTGCACAACCAGATCAGGCTCCAATGTTGCAATCCAGTCTCACCGATTGCATCGATCAATTAAATCCGGTCGGAGATCTCATCGAAGATGCAATCAACGCAGTTTTTGCTGGTGTATACCGGGATGCAATCAAATTTGTCGAGGCTGCATTTGGGGACGTTGATACTTGTAGTACGTTGCTTAATAATAGAATTGCCGACAAGAGTGATCCAGAAGTTCATGTTGAATTGCCGGACAACGTCTTGGCCCTCAGTTCTTCTTTGAATATCACATTGTCAGCTGCCTTGAATTTGCTCAAGGCGTAGAAAGATACATGAGAACGCCTTCAAGTATATGAATTGAATTATTGTATTTTAATGTGATGCATGGATACTGCAAATGCTCTATTAAAATTTAATAATCTTAGTTCGAATAATAATATTACATTATTGCAAACTCAGCTACACATTTTGTTGGCTCTTCATATTCGTCTTCATTGTTGTCCTTGAGAGTAAGCTACTATAGGTCGAGAACCAACGTTGTTTTACATCCCTCGTTAATGTCTCTGTATATACCCAAATGCATACCCTGCAAAGTCTCTTACAATCGAAATAGAGAATGCTTTAATAGAAATGGACGGTGTATCATCTTCATGATTCACAGTGTATTTTTCTTATCTTCTTGAACTCTGTCTTCTATTGTAACTTTTACTATCGGGTTTCTTTTCATTTTTTTGTCATTGTTTAATTGACGAGTAATCTTTTACTCATTTTCCTCATGCGATGAAGCTGACTTGACCTTGGTTTGAAAAATTTATAAACGGTTTATGTTGACCTCCGAAAATGGCCAACAAGTGCCTTGATCTCGTCTTCTTTATACTTGCACACGTGGCATCCCGTCAAGAGGCAAAGGTTGCTGGACGAGAAAAAGGTCCGGCGATCATTTGCACTTCCACGGTCAAGTCAACGGCTGGATGGAGATATAAGTATGGAGTGCAATATTCTGGAGAGGGGGAATGTTGTTAAAGTGTTTTAACGTGTTTAGGCATACCTGAAAATGAGAGAGAATTCTCATATTTATAGAGGTGGAGATGGGTCAAGTGCTTTAATGGGCTTAAATCCAAGCCCAGTATGAGGTGGTGGTCTTAGCATAGCAATGGGTACCTCAACAAGTGCTTCAATTGGGCTTCTTGGGACCTCGACAACACCTTTAAAGGCACTTCGATTAGACCTCTTCTTGTGCCTCGATTAGACAACTTTAGATGATTTTTAGACAACTTCGGATTGGGTTTAGTATGCACAAGGGCTGAGCCTTGGAGGAGCTCTAGGGACCTCGATGGACTACCTCATCAGGCACCTCGGTTAGCCCTTTGAGACATCTGGCTAGCTCTTTAAGGCATCTCGAATGATCCCCTTGAGAGCATCAACATGGGCTTTTACTTGGCTGCCTCTTGGGCTTATGTTGTCCAACTCTAATGGGCCTCGTTTGGGTCCAATGATAAGGCCTAATGTGAAGTGATTTATGGGTATAGTCCCCCAAGTCTGAATCGTTCATTCATGTGCGAGTTGGACTTTGAAATATAAGTAGTCAAGTAGATGAGGTCATATGAATTGCCTTAGAAAATATGAGTAGCTCCAATATGTGAGGACTTACGAATTGCTTTAGAAAATATGCGTGCTAGCCTGAATAAGTGAGGACTTACGAATTGCCTCGAAAGATGTTGCAAATAATTTTTTGAAATTTCGACAACATCTCCACTGTAATATGAACTAAACTAACCTGTAATACAACATAATATCTCCATCGCACATATATAAAATAAATTTGGGGTCATTTGATGACATATCACATTTCTTCAAAATATAATAATATACAGATTGCCTATCATGTATTATAGCGGTTTCGCATGCTTGACAATAGTATAGATAAGTGATCTGCATACTAGCGCTAATAAAAATAGTGTCATGGGTCATGAGGCATGCTAGCAATGATGTGACATGCTACTAGGATATTGGTATCACAATAAGTAAGAATAATAATGAATCTCACAAGTCGTATGAATAATAATGAATTATATAAACCAATTTATAAATTATATCGAAACGGAGGCGTCGGATAATTAATGTAGACAACCTCACGTAACAATAGTAAGATGTGGGCTATAAGTTGCAATAATGTCTCCGAATTTTGGAGCCCGTGTTATCCTTTTCATGGGCCACAGATTTGGATCTCGTGTTGGATTGTGGGGACAATAGGCCCACTTTTAAGGCCTTTGTCGGTGCACCTAGACCAACAACATAAAAACAGAAATTAAAGTTGACTAGGTGTCATCTTAAACCCTGTTTGTTTCTCATTCTTTCCCCATTAAAATGAAAAATATGACAGTTATTCATCATATCAAGTCATCAAATTTGAATATCTATCTTTTGTGTGGAGCTCATAACGACTATATTTTTCATTCTCATTTTTACAAAAATGGAAAACAAACACTCCCTAAATTTTCTTTCTTATTCCCCCCTGTCTCCGGTAAAGTTCGTCGGATGATCACGTGGCACTCACATGTTAATATATGCACAAAATTACTATCCAAGCACTTAAAAAAAAAAAAAAAAAAACATCATCTATGCAAATAGCAAATCCCATTGCCTATGACAACACAAGCTCATATCCCGATAGTAACGGTCGATTCCGTCTAGATCGGCCGAATTTATAATTTTTAATATCTCAAATACGTTTGCTATTTATTTAACCTCAAAAAGGTTAAATCCGTGAGTTGAAGAACGTTGACTTAAGGTGTTATTGCAAGGGGTTGAAACTTGACATCAATAAGGTTGTGCAGCAAATCGATAAAAGTGTTAAGCCTATGACAACTTGGTCCTTTGACAATGTTTTTAGATAGAAACTTTGAGAGCAAAAGGGTAGAAAAAGGTAAATTGAAGATTGTGGCAATAAATTTTTCAAAAAATTGAGTTTACTAATTTTATTTTGAAATCCTTGACCTCGAATATGGATATACTATATAAAATAAAGCCACCTAGTCATATTGAAAAATAGAGAGTGAAGAAACAGACTGACGTGTCAGAAAATAATTGAGTATTTTTGTTTTAATTTTTTAAATTGTCCAATCATTCGTTGACATGTGTTATATCTAGATTTGAGCCTGAATTTTTAGCATGATTGTACTATTTAAGGGTTCATCAGATCAATGTACTAGTCCAACAACTTCTAATTATTATTTAATTAATATCTTCATGATTTCTTAATTGCAATAATTGCTTAATAATCAAAAAAATATTATTTGAAAGTTTGTCTTTTAAATCTTAGCAACGGGTCCTTGTCAATTTCAAGATTATAACGTTCCAGAAATATTTGTTTAGAATTTAATACTTCATGTTTAGAAGCACAATCTACTAAAAGAAAGGCTAGAATTGACATGAAGTTAAAATTCTCTATTCTCAAAATTAATTTTTAACCATACATTCACACCATAAAATATTTTATACATAAATTGATTTTTTTTTCCCTCTAATTTACTTTTCATGCTTCCATCAACGAACGATTGTTATGGTTGCTAACATAATCTGCAATAATTATGAATTTATTGTACTAATCTTATTCATTTTTCAATGCTTTAATGGATGATTGCATCATGGATAATTGTTAACTAATTTTCAGTAATTATGAAATGATTGTACTAATCTAATTTTTTTTTCATCGTTTTAATTGATGATAGATGGTTAAGTCTATTTGTCATCCTTTATTTAAAAATTCTTTTTTACATATACTTATTTTCAATTATACATTCACATAATAAAATATTTTGCAAGCAAATTTCATTATTTTTTTTAAAACACACATTCTCCAAAAACTTACTATTCAAAATATTGAAAATCTCGAATAATAGCCATCAAACAGGGGGTAATGGTTAAAGGAGTTGCTGATCAAATTTTTTAGTAATTATGAATTGATATTGAGAAGACATGACAATGTCTAATTAGCAAAAATGGGTGCACAAAGGGTAATTCAGAGATTTACATCTTGTGGTGACTTGCCTGAGCAGGCTCGAGGACTTGTTCGATTGGACCGCATTAGAGTTCCCTATTTACGTAAGTGAGTTGATTGGTCTAGAAAATTTTTAAATTCGCTATTTGTTAGGCTATTTTGTCATCACGGTATTCCTCTGCCATAAGTAAGGGTTGTTTAAAAAAAAAAAAAGTCACTTGCCATGAATAAAAAAAAAATAAAAAAAATGTCTAATTGATCGATTAAATAACTTGGCTACCAACAAAACTTTCAATACTATTTCGAGCAAGAATGTTCCTTAAGATCCGTTAGAGCTCAACAAGATTTTACTGCTCAAAGGCCATTCGAGATGGTTAATGCCAAAGAAGAGTACTAAAAAATGGAGTGGAGTTTCTAGATCTTAAGATATGACTAGCCAATAACTACAAAAACAGTGAATATAGCTTGAAAATTCCTCTACCTACCTAACCTAATCCTTCCACATCAGATAATAGATCAAAACTCGGTCAGCTTATTACGTAGATAAGAAAGGATAAATTCATACGTACAGAATAACTTCTTACACAATGTTGTCAGGATAGTCTCATGATGTGGAGTCCACCATGAAAAACAATTGCCAAAAAATACCCTTCTCACCCCCTATGTGTGTATTCTGACGACATTATGTGAAAACTTCTACAACATTTTGATGGACAAACATTGTCACAAAGTTTTTTTATTCTCACATACTCAAAAACTCTAGGATTTTCTATCTAAAAAAAATTTAACAAGTTATTATTTCTTTGTCACGAAAAATAAAATTTGCACTCCCTCCCAATCACATGACGTGAACAAGACAATATACACTTTTCAAAATTTAGAACCAATAAATACTGGCACAGATAAGTGTATGAAAACATTAAATATTAGATAACAAAAAATAACTAATAAATCATGTCAAATTGCTCGTTCAGTCCCATCCCTTGTATAAAAATTAAAAATAGTTATTTTTTTCTTTTTTCCCAAGATCTGAGATTAGAAAAATTCACCCACCCCCAGTTCTTAAATATCCGAAGAATCCAACCCTTAGACCTCACCGATTTGAACACTCAAAAATGGAAAACATTTTCGGACAAAAATCCAAACTCATTCTCATTTTCTTGTCTTGTTTTTCTCTAGTTTTGTTCACACTTTGCACTCTAAATTCCCACGTAATTACTCAAAGAACTTCACCCATTAGTTCAACATCAATACACATTCACAAGCACATTCAAGTAGCAAATACACATTGCCAAGGTACATTGTACCCAGAATTATGTGTCTC